GTTAGATAATAAATTGACAATCTATTATATAATAATAAAGGTTTATTTTTATCAGTACATTTTACACTTTTTTAAATAACTGCAATTTCAGATATAGATCGAAGATATCTTGAATTATAAATTGTATTACTGTATAGAAAATGGAAACCATTGTGAGTCTGGAGAAATAAAATATTTTTTATTTATTCTATTTTTATTAAATGAAATAAGCGATTGATATTGATATATATGATATGGAGTTAATTATAGGTTTGTGTATTTTTCAATATATAATTATTTTTTATTCGATAAAAATTTCATCACATAATTTAAAATAATTTAATTAAATTTTTTCTTATTTTTTTTTCTCTCATATCGATGTTGCAAAAATAATTAAAAAATATAAATTTATAAATATCAGTATATTGCTGATAAGGCGATTGTAGTGTGCTTCTTATTCGTCTTTGACTTCAATAATAACACATTATACTCATCACAAATAAAAAATTTATAATATTGTCATAGATTCAGATTATGTAATCGTATAATTACTTAAATAATTGAATATTTAAGTTTTACACAATAAATTAACTATTTATTTATTAATATATTGGGACTTTTGAGGAAAATCGCTCCTTTTTGGGAAAAAATAAAGTTTCTTCGTGTTTCTCACTTTGCATTTTTTTTTCAAACTGTTGATCAAAGGTCCATAACCATAGCGTCAAGTCACTGCATCAAGTCTAAAAGTTATGAAATGTACTTTGCGGTATATCAATTTGTTAATTTGATGATCACCTCTTTGTTTTTTTGTAATGTGATTTTCGTGTTTTTGGATTTTTAAAAATTAAATAGTTAATCAGCATAAATAAAAATATTTTATTTTCGTGCGTGCGATGTGGTATTCGATTTATAGAACGTTCAACTTGTAAATTTTGTTTTGTAATTATTTATCTAGATTATCTCATTCTCTCGCAATTAATTAACAATTCAACTCTTAATTTTTTCCGTGAATATGGAAGAACCAAATTAAATTTATCATAAATGTATTTATTTAAAATAGAATTTCTCTATCAATAATAAAATATTATAAATAAAATATATGGGAAGTAATAATAGTATAATTATACATATTTAGTAAAATTTAAATAATGGCGCAACAAAGTGTCACACAAAATCAATTCACAATCGTTAGATTCATTTTTACTTATTATAGTTATATTATTATTTATTTATAGCTATTTTAACTTGATGAGATTAGATTAAAAAATTGGCAAAAAAAAGTTCATTTAAGATGAAATCGAAATTAGTTCTAATAATCATAAGGAGTAAAGAGCTTTGATGCATAACAAACTATACTTATCTTTCAATGAACAAAATCTATTAATATTTCATTTCCCATCATGACTTTCTTCAAATTCTGTATAATCCTTTTTTCTTTTCTGTTTTTACGCCAAACAAGATTCTCCTTAAAAATTATGTTTATTCTTAGAATTTAGAAAATGATTTTTTTTTTTTTGAACAATAATATTTTTTTTTTTTTTATATCCAACGGAGTCTTGCTCCAATAAACTTTATTAATAGATTAAGTGTAAATTTTAAAGATACAGATAATTTATTTTACATTTATTGAATTTTTGAACAATAATATAAATAATCGAATTCGATCAATGATATCAAAAAGTACGAGAAATTTAGTTATAAAAGAACAACATTTTTCTGTTCCCAAAATTCAACAACAAATATTCAATTTGTTTTTCTTAAAAATAACGTTGCGTTACTAAACAAATCTAATATTTTTTTACATTTAAAAAAATGAATCAAAAAATTACATTTGCTACTATCTTGGTTGCGTTTTCCGCATTCTTTATCTACTTTACGGATGCTTCTCCAATTGGATTGTCACCTCGTCAACCCGGTAGCGTCGCATACTGTGATTTCACGAACGACGTTACTGGTAGAATCACTATTACTGAACTTTGGAGTGGAAGCGTTAGAATAACCGGACAATTTAATACGGGATTCCCTGATCGCACTAGCAAATATGAATATCAACTTTCCGGCGAAGAAAGGGGAGAAATTGAAAGTGACATAATTTTTCCACCTGGAACTGCACCATTTCAATGCGATTACAAAGATAAAACCGTAGATTATTTTGTCGGGAAAAATCTTTGCATCTTCCGTGACGATAAAGTTATTGGCACGTGCGTTTTCGTACTAATTAAATAAATGAATATTATAGGTCAAAATTAATATGTTATTTGACGTTATTCATGTAATGAAAGAATGTATAATGTGAATTACCAAATTGTATTTTATCTAACAACAGTAATATAATAATAAATAATTTTTTTTTCTTCTATTCTTCTACCACACTTGGATTGTCCCAATTAAATTAATTTCATTAACATTTTAACTTTTGTAATGATTAAATAAGTGATTTACCGATTTATTACATGCATAAATAAAGTCTAAGAATTCAGTAATGATTTTTTTTTTTCAGAAACAAATTTTTGAATTATACACACACCAAAAGACATCTTTTGATACTTGCCCACCTTTTACACACACGAAATATTTTCAAAAAATGATTCAAGAAATTATTGATATATATATATAATTTGTGAGAGTTAAATATAAATGATTTTTTTTAAACCAACGGAGTCTCACTCCAGGATGTTAAATATAAATGATAGAAGAGAAAAAAAAATATAATTAATATATTAGTTGGGTTTTTTTGAAGAAAATCGCTTCTTTTTGTGAGAAATGGAAAAAAGTGAATGAAATATTCAAAGGGTCCATAACCAAGCCGCTGCATCAAGTCTAAAAGTTATGAGATGCACTTTCCTTTGACGATCACCATTTCATTCTTTGTATAGGCCCATGTTTTTTTGATTTTTAATAAAATCAGTTGTGATAAAATTGTTTTTGGATGTCATGCACTGTAAACTGTTTAAGTAAAATTTTTTCATTAAATAACAAGATTATTGTATACTGAAGAAGGTGGTTGATATGCCAAATGTTCATTTAGAAAGTAAAGACCTATAGATTATTGTTTGGTATAATGGAAATTACTACAAGTGTAAGCGTTATAAATCAAATCAAATAATCGGTCGTGAATATAAATCTTCATTCAAATTAATTTTTTATTAATATCATCAATTATAAATATTTATATTGAGGATTTTGAAGACAATTCTTAATAAAATTAAAAATTTCCGAAATAATTTAGAAATAATATATAATATTTAATCCATTTCACTTCTTCAGTCCTTTTGATCCAAAATTTTCTGTTATCCAAAGATCACCTCTTCCAAAACATGTTCCATTTAATGTGGAACGATAAATAGCTTCTTCTTTAATTAATTTAATAATATATATTGAATAATTTATTCAAAATATGAATTTCTAATACTGAGAATAAATAATCCTTTCAACGTAAGGAACCAAAATCAAAAATCATTAATGTATCTGAAATAATAATAATGACAGATAAAGTAAGATAATAAAATATTATGCAAAATGAATATTCCAAATATATATGTTTCGATATTAAATTTACTCTTTAATATTTTATTCATGTAAAAAATTATTATTTTATTGAATATAAATAATAATTGATGTAGTAACTATCATTGTAATCCCTTTTAATTCAAATTATTACCAATATTATAATAATATTAACTATAAATATTTATAATATAAAATTCTAGAGTAAATTTATTAATTAAATTAAAAAATTGATCTCTATAATAATACTAAAGAATTGAATTCAATTAATTAAATTTAAGAAAGACTTATATTAATTTAATTTTAAAGAATCGAAAATTATCCACAATAAATTTTATTGATTGATGAAGAATAAACTCATATTCAAAAGCTGAAATTTGAAATAAAAAAAAAATAATTATATAAAATGAAAATGACTTTATAAGGTATCTCTTATTTCTCAACTTTAGATTGTGATTTTCATGAAATCCAAGGAAGATAAATATTACATTTAAGAAAATCAAGAAAAAAAAAAAAGACTAAATGATGCAAACGCATTTAAAGAAAAACATTTACCTGTTTTTGTATTCCTTTTGTTTTATTTTTGACATTAAAATTAAAATAAAAATTCTGTAAATTCCAAAAAAAAACTACATATTTTTGCTTTAAATTATTGTTATGAAATTCAAAGTTTTCATGGGAATATTTTTGTTAGCTAAATCTTTTATGTAATATGTATATATTAAATTTATTAATAAAATGTATTAAACCTAAAAGCAATGAAAAAATTTAATGAAAAGGTAAGTTTTAATTATAGACATAATGGCCACTTGATGATGTACCAAAAAATTATTTATTTATCTATTTATTTTATTCTGCCTTTAATATTAATCTTGTTTATTGTAGATTTTTTCTTTAAAAAATTATCTCATTCCATTCCGTTTTTTATTTTTTATAAAAAAAGATTCCGAGTTCTTTTAGAAAAAATTGTATTTATTAGAAAAAAAAAATTTGTTTTTTTTTGAAAAATCATGTATTTTTACTTTATGTTATAAGTTCCTTTTTGTAATTCTATGAGAGAAAAAATTCAATAAATAAAAGTTTATACGGAAAATAATTTTTTTACGAGAAAAATTCGTGTGAAAACAACCTTCAATGAGAAATCACAGTTGTGGTCACCGATTACAATTTTTCTATCTTAATTGTACGAAGTAGATTTGTTTGACTATATGAAATACTTCTAAAAATTTTGTATAGCAAGATCGTGTGCAAATATAAAGTATTGCAGGCAACTTAAAATTTTGCTTACGAAATTGAATTTTATATTCTAGTATGTACTGTATATATTAAATTATTGATGTATGTATCTAATATTCGTAAGTTTTTGACCGATATTTAGTTGTTGTTGAATCTCTGGCTAATTTGGTCTTGTAGTAAAAGCAATAAAAAGTGTTGGTTAACCTAGTTTACTTATGACCGCAAGAGCATCCATTGCCTTTTTATAAGACCATCTGTATGAAAGTGTATGTGATGCTGGCAAATAAAATATTACTTGAATACAGCTCAGCTTCATCACCAAGCATTTCAATTTCTTCTTCCTAAATCGATGCTGTTCATTACGTACATATTGCAAGCGTTCATCTGCTCGAATAAACATGTCCACTAAAATATTTATTGAAAAGACGCCTAAGTAGATAGAATTGAGTTTCGATCATAATACGATAACAGTAATAATCAACTTGTGAAATTTTTTGTAGATTTGAATGTTCAGGGTATGTCCAGTACATGCGCCAACCTATTTCACCATGCGGAAAAAAAAGTGGATACTGTAGTGCTTCATAATTTTTGTTAAGGATGTTGACATAATCTGGCTTTTCTTCACCAACGCGCCAAATCTGCACACACCGTTCTTGTGCTATAGCTTTTGAATGATTAATTGTGCAAGCAACATTTTCTGCAATATTTGTTGATTGTTGAATTACCAATTGTGCTTGAGGATAGTTCATGTTATAAAGTTGATATAGACCTTAGACAAATGGATTAATAGTAGCTAATTCTCGTTCAATAACTTCCTGATTAAGTTCATCTAATTAGCAACACAATTTCGTACATTAGCGTCAAATACAAACCAATTTACTGGATGGCCTCTTGTATTAGCAGGATAAACTTGATGATACGCACGACCATTTATAGTAAAGGCATGCGGTGAACTACACCACCCATATGACAAAGTACTGCGAAGGAAAATAATGAGTTGTATGGATGACAGATTACTAAAATTGTTAGAATTTGAAGTATGAAGACTTTGTAGTGAAAATGGTAAAGGTCATAGAAGTAGAATAATACATCTCAGCATATCACTGCAACAAAAATTTTTTTGTTAAAATGAAAGAAGCTGTGATCCACATTTAGAACGTGATTGTCCCCACCCAGGTGAATAAGCACGTACATAATTATATTTATTGCACAAATTCGATAATGTTTCCCACCAGAGTTGACAATTATTTGTAGAAGTTTCACCGTCTTTTGGTGTCAAGCAATGTGTGCGTTATTTACAGTTCACAAATTTTTTATGCTTAAATAATTGTTGGCAACGTGCAGGTCTGCTTGTTATTTTTTAAGAATTATAAGTAAACGTATTTAATTTTAGCCTTAACCTTATTGAGAATACAATTCCATGATTTTATGATTATGGTAGTATTTTTCATTTCTACTTGACAGCATTTTTTAACTCACTCGAGATTTTCATTGTTAATTAAATTATTATTTATATACTAATAATTTACACTGGTGAACTTTAACAATTCGTGCACTGCTTAAAAAATAAATATGCATCATGCGAAATATTTGACGCTATGTTATAAATGGATGAAAAGTTTTTATAATAAAAATTCTTGTTTGTGTTCAGTTTATTATGAAGACTCTTGGCCAAAGAATTACAAATTAGGAAATTGTTTTGCATAAAAAACTATCAACCGTTCTTATATATATGTATATATGTATATTATGTTATCTATTTTTAGTTTTTTTTTATTTATAAAAAAAAATTATTTTTATAATCTTTTTTTTAGTTTTTATTTATTTATAAAAAAAAAAATCATTTTTATTACCTTTTTTATTTTTTTTTTTATTTTTATAAGAAAAGAAAAGTTATTTTATTTTTTTTTAGTTTTATAATAATAATAAAAAATTGAATATCGCTATATATGATAATCATGTACTTTTAAAGATTTTTTGTTTGCTGCAACAAAAAAAATAGATCATCAAAATTGATTATCTATTTTTAGAAATTATTCATTTTTTTCTAATTTCTAAAAAAAAAAATTGGATATTTTTTTTTTTATTTTAAGAAATTATTATTCACTTTTTCTAATTTCTAAAAAAGATCATTGAAATTAATATTTTATGCAAAATAAAACAAATAGGTGACAAAAGTTAAAAATTTCTAAAAAAATAGATCATCAAAATTAATATTGCTATCTATTTTTGGAAATTTTCTAACTAGAAAAAAATGGATCATTGAAATTGATTTTTTTTATTTTAAGAATTTATTATTCATTATTCACTTTTTTCTAATTTCTAAAAAAATGATCATTGAAATTGATATTTTATTTAAATTAAAGTGTATACAAAATAAAAAAACAAATGAACAGATTTACTAATCATTTTTTGAAGATAAATTATTTATTCACTAAAAAAAAATCATGTGAAATTATTATCTTGAAACTTAATTGTACTAAAAATAGATAAACAAATAATCTATTTATTTGTTTATTTTTTTTAAGAAAAATTTTAAGAAAATAAATAATAATTCTTTTAAATAATTTATTTATTTAAGAGAATTATTATTTATTTTTGTAAAAATTTTTTAAAGAAATTATGATTTGTATTTTAATTATTTATCTCTCTTTAAAACAGTAAAACAAATCTTTTTATTCAGGAAATTAAATGATAAAGTATACAAATCAGTTTGTTGTCTTCTAGATCAAAGATCATTTGTACATGTAAAAATTTCGTATTTCTTGATGTTTATTTTTTACCAAAAAAAAAAAGAAAGAAATAAACTTATTAAAACATAAATATATTTGATTTTTAATTGAGATTA